CTGTATATAACCATATATACATAACCCAGGGCCTTTTCATGTCACCATAAATTGTACCAGGCTGTTGGTATCTTAAAAGTGTCCATTAACAGCAAGCCTTATTAATGATACACATAAAACTGTACATGGTCCCTCTTACTTGAAATACTGCAGGTAAACTATCCAAATGAATGGTACGAAAAATTATACTACAGAGGTCATTCTAGATTGCAACCCCTACACACATAATAAAATTCTTACTGTGCACCATTGGGATGGAATTGATAAAGAGAACAAAGCAGGGCTGGTTTTTATGACATTCGCCCCATCTCAGATTAACTGTCCCAACACGCCACAGAGGAAAGGGCTGACAACCGCTGCACCAAGCACACCACATACGGAAAAATCCTCCGTATTTTCATGTGCAGCTCTATAAACTTTCATTTTAACTTGAAACTATATAATTGTTACTGTACGTGCATTAAAGAAAGAGTAAGGTTTTTATCATCGAAAATCTATCCATCATGATACCTATATATGTATTTTTATGTTTTATGACCTTGACATTTTCAAGTTATCACGAAATTGTTGCTACCTTTTTTTTTTGCATTATGATATTTTTTATCGACAATATGGACATGTCTGTTTCTCTCTCCTCTAACTTCCCCGCTCAAAAATAATGTAGTAATGTTTATGATTACTATAGCAAGGTTTGCACTTAATTGAATAAATATACCTCACAAACTTACAAAGATCGCTACATATCTAGGCTCACTAGAAACTCATTCCTAACACTCGGGCTGGTCTTACAAGAATAATACGTACAATAAACACAGCAGGGCTTGTTTTTAAGGCCAACCACCAGCCTCCCATCCTTATATCTCGCAAAACGCCTGCCTAAGAACACAGGGTTGGCTTCAAACAGCAAATACATAGCTACGATAGGAAGGAAACCCATGTACCGTTCTGGCTTTACTTTATCTTCACTAAAATCTGCAGTTTCTGTACGTGTGTAAAAGTAACATCTAACCCGTCTGCTTATAAATCCACTTAACTAATGAGATATACAAAAACCTGTCACCCCGACAGCTAAAAAAATTTTAATACTGTCAAACGTTTTAAGTACCATCTAATGCTTAACTTGCAATATAGTCATGTTCAACAAATGGTTGTTCAACAAGTGGTGGGTCCCATTTCTTGTGTATGTGCCATTTTTATTACATACCAATATATATAATGAGATATTCCTACTCCTCGATAAAAAGAGGATGTCGATTTAAGAGACAAAGTGATACAGAGAATAAATCAGTCCGGCTAACCTTCAGTTTGTAGCTGATCAAGTACAACCCTGTTCACGGCAGGAGAGTTCTCGAGCACGTCTACTTGACAGACGTGATCACCAAGTTTCTATTTATGTTCCCGCAGTACATATCAACAGGGAAACATCTGTGCACTAAATAATTCAGTGAGTAGCCACCTCCGGAGATTAAATGCTTACATTGTAATCAGGTAGAGTACATTGTGTATTGTGCCAACCAGACTGTGGACAATAGCCTTTTCATTTCTCTACACTGCTAATTCATTGACTCATGGTGCGGTCTAATAGCTTGTGCTGATGTCATATGTAGAGTAGCCCAAGTGATTCAGATACAGGTATACATTTTAAAACGTAACAAATATTACTATAGAAATAGAGTACAGAAACGTCTGTAAGATTGCTACTTGTATAAAAAATGTGTAACGTTTTTTACGAATGCTGAAATGAGCCTTTTGCACCCCATCCCCGCAAACGTGTAGAAATAGCAATATAGAACCATCCAAACTAAGCTATTCAACCATTAAACGACAAAATCGACTATAATAGGTGTTGTTTTTTATTCTAAACCTCGTAAGTTTATCTTTTTTCAAAGCAAAAATGTGTTTTCATTCTTGTCTACTTTTTTCTATGAACACTACAACTACAAAAGCAGAAAGATAGCATGACCTTGAAAATGTTTCCTCAGCCATTCTTCCGCCATTAAGCGTCACACAGATAGGACTTGCCTGGTCAGATTGGGGACAGCAGCTGCACCATGTTTAATATGTATATGACTCTATTGACATAACACGGTTAAAAAACAATGAAAGATTTTTGGGCCAATTTGATCTGTAAATATAGTTAGGTTGGGATGTGTCAAATTTTCCAATGGGCAAGAATTACTTCCCAAAGCAGTCAGTTGTTCCTCTGAAATATTTTGCGATATACATGAACACATCAGACTATAGTCAATATTATGTTGGTGGTAGACAACAGAATTTACTCATTCCAACAGTACATGTCATTCTTTTAAAGTAAAGTAGAGTAGGGGAAAATGAGGTTTTCACGGTGTTTTTACAATCCCTGTTGTGGTGTGACACAGTGGTCAATCATAATGATTAGAAACGCTTATTCTCCGTGTCATAATTTCACGATAGAGATTTCATGTAACAAATAGGTTTTTTGGTCTTTTAACTTTCTTGTGGTGTTAAGACCGTATTTGAAACTACACGGTGATTTTAAATTCTCGGTTTTCGCGGAAACCTCTCCATCGTGAATCCATGACACATGCCTTTTCCAATGTATGAATATATAATTGTTACTGTAACAATTGTATAGTACAGGGCACACCCGAAAAACAATGCGTCGTTTAGCACTGGGTGCGTTTACTCTGACAAAAGAAAACAAATAAATAAATAGCACCTCACAGCTGCAATTTTTTAAATAACCGCGAAAACGGCAATGCCTTTAGAGAACAGGTTTGACTACAACCACCAAATACATAGCTACAAAAAGAAGGAAACCCGTGTCCCGTTCTGATGCAGTTCTATCTTGACTTAAATTTACAGATTTTGTATTTGTGTAAAAGTAATATCGTCCCCGTCTGCTTATACATCCATTTTACTAATGAGATACACAAAAACATGTCACTCCAACAGCTAGATAAATTTTAAATACTGTCAAACGTTTCAAGTACCAATTAATGCTTAACTTGCAATACAGTCATGATCAACAAGTGGTGGGTGCCACTTGAAACGTATGTAAGTTTTTCAATTGCTTGAGTAACAATTTCTTGTGTATGCCTTTCACTGTTATCTTAACACATGCAATAAAATATTCCTACTCCTCAATAAAAAGAGGTTGTCGATTTAGGAGACAAAGTGATACAGAGAATAAATCATTCCGGCTAACCTTCAGTTTGTAGCTGATCAAGTACAACCCTGTTCACGGCAGGAGAGTTCTCGAGCACGTCTACTTGACAGACGTGATCACCAAGTTTCTATTTATGTTCCAAAAATACATATCAACAGGGAAACATCTGTGCACTAAATAATTCAGTGAGTAGCCACCTCCGGAGATTAAATGCTTACATTGTAATCAGGTAGAGTACATTGTGTATTGTGCTAACCAGACTGTGGACAATAGCCTTTTCATTTCTCTACACTGCTAATTGATTGACTCATGGCGCGGTCTAATAGCTTGTGTTGATGCCATATGTACATGTAGACTCGCACAACATATTCAGATACAGGTTTACCTTTTAAAACGTATCAAGTATTACTATAAAATGTAGTACAGAAATGTCTGTAAGATTGCTACTTTTTTAAACGTGTTACGCTTTTCTCAACGGATGGTGAAATGAGACTAAGGACCTTCTTGCACCCACCCACCCGCAAAAGTGTAGAAACAGCACAATAGAACCACCCAAACTGAGCTATTCAACCATAAAGCTAGAAAATCGACTGCCAAAGTTATTTTCAACTTAATCCCTGTAAGTTTGGCGTCTACAAAACAAAATGTGTCCTATTCTTTTCTTGCGATCAATGTGAAAATAGCAGCACAACTAGCACAGCACCTAATGAACAGAATGCCACAGGCAACACGTCACGCTGCACTGAGCGGAGTGTTTACATGGCCTTGATAACCTAACCCCTTTCTGTATCATCTTTCAAGTTTTACATTGATAGAACCCCAGACGTACTGCTTGTCCAACATGTTATTTAAACGTATTACATGTTACTACCAACAATTTCATTATAAATTGAAACAGTCTATAGCTCAGCCTCCAAGCTTCAGTTTAACATACCGAAACTTGCTTTGATAAAGCACTACAGCTAACAAGGCAGAAAGATCGCATGACCTTGAAAATGCCCCCTTCCCTATGAAGCGTCACACTGATAGGTTTTGCCTGGTCAACTTGAGGACAGGATACGCCCCCTATATTGGAACTGCAGCTGCACCAGGTGTCTTAAACGAAGGTTTTGTGTACATGGTTACTATTAATGTTATATGACATGTTATAAAATTGCACTGTAAGCATAGTGCTCACAGGTGAGAATATTACAGGTTTTTAACTTAGCAGAAATTAATTTCTAGTTGTTCCTCATTCCTTTGTAATGTCCAATAAAATAGTAAGGCTCCTAATATGTTAATGTTCAAAATAAAGAGCTAATAAATTTTTACCAATTTGTTATCATTTTGTATGCTGTACTATATTTTACTTGTTTTGAGACCCAAAACTTATCTGTCTAGATATTACAGAAAACTAATTTTTTGGCTCTAATTTTACTACACAATAGAACACAATAACAGTTCGCCCTGTTCCCCTTGTCTCAGTATATTTACTATATTAAGCTTTGATACCTTCATGGTCGACAAAGAGGGCTTTGACAAATTCCCTACTGATACCATGTTGACATGTTAAAAGATCCTATTTGCACAGTCATGTAATTATGGTTTCACCTGCATGTCCTATTGGTTAGGCCACACCACTTTAATTTCATGGATAACATCCATGCGCGAATTGATTTTCGGCTGTTCTTAAAAAAAAAAACACGTCCTCCGAGGCTATGGCCTGGGTAGGCCATGGTAGGTAGCGACAATACTGAGCCGGTTGTAACTCTGGGGGATGGCTCACAGGCTACCGAAGCTCCACGACTCAACAACTCAGTACTACATATACCTACAGTGCCGATTTACAAAATTTCGCAAATAGCGTATATGTCGCTATGTACTGCCGCAAATTCAAAATATCTGCTTTGCATTCCTGTGCTTTAGTTGCATTTTTATTTTTGGCCGGGATTATTTTTATTCGCCCGCGCGCACTAGTTTGGGGGTCTACAGAGGATGTCAACCATAAAATTAAGTTGGCATGGCCTTTGGTAAAAATGCAAGGGTGGACAATGTACCGTGTTGAACCAAGGAATGTCCTTGGTTTAACGGTGATTTCTACTCGCTATCATCGTGCCAACCTGGCTCGAGGTCTAGGAGAGAGAGAGAGAAGAGAGAGAGAGAGAGAGAGATACTTTTGCTAAAAGCTTTCAAACAGATGTGAAATGACCGTACGGACTGTACAACGCGTATCTTCTTACGCTTGGTAAGACGTGTTAAAAACCCTGCTAGCGCCGTCTAAAACAAAGACAGTCTTGTTCAGAGGTGTCACAAGAGTTCAGGTAAAGTTTAAGATTCACTTGTGATAAGGATCTCTAAGTGACTGTAAACATGTACTGACTGCATTACCGTTTAGTCTAACACCATTGTTTACACAAAGTTTATGTTGCACAAACATGTGGAAATATTCGCTTATCTGTAGCATGTTAAAGACATGTTTATTGACAAAAGCCCGCAAATGGTTGACATGAGGTGGCCAGATTAGCATATTTTACCAGCTTGTCGGCTTAGCTTCGTTTCCGGAGATTTCAGGGGCTCTTCCCTCTCCTGCTGTACGATCGCTGGTGGCTGACAAGACCGATACGTGACAATCATTTGGATTCGTGGGGGAAAATTTGGCCAAGTTTTGTGGGGGAAAATTTGGCCAAGTTTTACATCTTATCTAGTCCTGTCCTATGAATGAAACAAAATTCAAGGTCAAGGTCGATTAATCACCACGTTCCCGATCCCCATCCTCTCACACCCTGTTTGTGTGTGTGTGTGTGTGTGTAAATGTGTGTGTGTGTGTGTGCATCTGTGTGTGTGTGTGTGTTTGTCTGTGTGTGTGTGTGTCTTTGTGTGTGTGTATGTGTGCATCTGTGTGTGTGTCTGTGTGTGTTTGTGTCTGTGTGTGTATGTGTGCATCTGTGTGTGTGTGTGTGTGTGTGTGTGTTTGTCTCTGTGTGTGTGTGTGTGTGTATCTATGTGTGTGTGTGTGTGTGTGCATCTGTGTGTGTGTTAGTGTTTTATTATACTTGTGTGTGTATAATTTTTAAAGAACTTATTGCTCCTTTAAATTTATAACTATTGTCTAAAATGGATTATTGAGTATGCTGATAAATTATAGCTCCATGTCTTAAGTTTCATAATGAGCATGAACAATATCTTACGTGTAAATTTTCATTTTAGTACTTACCCAGCGACTAATAAGCCGATATAAATTACAAACCGAAGAT